TCTTGCACTAAAGCTGTGCAGCTAAGTGTGGGCTAAGTGAGAAAGAGTAAAGAGATAGGATTCTAACGCTGTTTGTATTAGTGTTGTCCAGAGAAACAGAGGCAGTAGGCGAGAGAGAGAGAGAGAGAGAGAGAGATTAAGGAATTGATACCCATAGCTGTGGGAGCGGGCAAGTCTGAAGTGTGCAGGGCAGGCTGGCAGGCTGGCACTCCACTCCGGGCAGGAGCTGATGTCTTGGTCTTGACCTCCAGGACAGTCTGGAGGCAGACTTCCTTTCTCCCCAGGGGAAATCAGTCTCTTCTCTTAAGCCCTTGAGCTGACTGGATGAGGGCTATGCACATGAAGGGTAATCTGCTTTACCCAAAGTCTACTTATTTACATCTAAAATAAACTGCCTTCACAGCAACATCTAGACTGACCCATAAACAGGGCACCATGGCTAGCCAGGCCAGCAGAGAAAATTATCCTTACATGTCACATGGGCCCAGAAGACAATATTCTGTACAGCAGTATGTCTCACATTGAAGCATGGATGGGAGGACCCCGGAGAAACACAGGTGCAGGGGCCCATCCCTGAGCTGCGGAGTCAGCAGAGCAGGGCTGCCTTTGGAACAATTGCCGGTGATGCTGACAGGGCTGGTCCAGGGACCGCAGTGGGAAAACCCCTGCTGCTTACTGGGATGGCTACTTGGCTCTAAGTGAGGACACTGAAGCATCATGAACAATCATCACGGAATTCATTTCTGATCTGCATTCTCTGTATAATCATTTGAAATTTTTTCCAACATTTAAGTTTTTAATAAGAAGGACTTTCTTTTAACCCCTTGAAAAATGCCCACTCAGCCCCTGGCCCCCCATAATATTACATTAACAAGTTGTAATTACCTTTAATAAATGTATCAATTAATAATGTAATCCATTTAAATTGATTTAATTAATATTTCAAATCGCTAGAGGCTCAGGCACAGTGGGAGGGCACTCGGAGTTGGGACGCCTGGGCTGGGCAAGGTCATGGATCGCAAGTTTGTAGA